TATCTAGGGGAGTAGGTTTCTGTCTACGAAACTTCATACACTCACTTATAAAGAGTCATGTCTTATCTCTGAAGATTAATTCTCGAGGGATATACGGCCATAGCCGATTTGTGAGTGCTGATCGAATAGAAACTTGCGCCAATTCTCTCAATCTGGAAGCTCGAGATATCTCCCTTTTTGGGTGGCAACCAATTGTCCTCTAAATTTGAAAAAGTTGCCCATTCCTTCAAGGCATAGACATAATGAATTGCACGACTACTTCGTCAAAGCCTTCCATCTTCCCAGAATTCATCTAGGTGGTGTGTGCTATCAAATAAAAAGTGAGAGATCTGAGGCATGGATGTGGAGAAGCGCTTGAATCCCTCAGTAGATTGTGGTTCAGTTAGTGGCGTGATCTCCTTGCCACCCACTCCGATTTTCAGGGATACACCAATCAAGCTTGCCTCTTCTCTAAGATCCTTTTCGATTGTTCTTCCCACTAGGTTGAAGGAGGAAATGCGTAACCGTCGTCTCCGACCGCTTTTGAGCAATGGCATCTGTGCCAAGTGCACCTGGATTTGGGAAAAATAAATGATACTTTTGAGATTTATTGTTCCATCGAGAAGAAGTAGGTCTATCTCTAATCTTCCAAAGAAGTAGGTCTATCTCTAATCTTCCTGACAACTAGGGTGAGGGAGCAGGTAACAGTTACCCAGATCGTTCTGTCCGTGTACATATTCCCCGCACGATCCAGCAAGGCGTGTTCTGGAAGCTCGAAAATATACAAAACTTAGAGAGAGCGGTGACTAAGTAAGTTAGTTACATGATAAAAGCACAAACAAAGTGGCTCCTCCAGCAGAAGTTTCGATTGAGTAAACGCCTATTTAGGGTTACAAAATGGATCAAATTGAAGACCTTGTTGAAGAGTGTTCGTATACGTTTTTTTTCTACTATAAAAGTTGGAACTTCTTACAACTTGGCAATTTATCGTTCTCAACGTTTTGGCCAAACATTCAAACTCATTCACAATTTTACTTCATTCATGCGAGTAAGCGTAAGCTGAGCTGAATTGAAAAGCCATGAGTTTGGAAACCTTTGCTACTGGAGCATTTCCTGTATCACAAAGTTTGTAATTATTTTAATAGCCACGAGTCGGGAATTGAAGTGATGCGTTATTTTGTGCAAATATTAGGCAAGGGGTGCCAATGAGCACTGGTGAGAAGAAAAAGCAAAAAGCACCATAGAAAACACTAAATTCCTCTTAGGAACCCGGCCGTAGTACGACGGAGAGACACAGCGCTGGCGAGAGAGGGAAAACGCGAGATAGTACGTCATACGCGAGAGGACGCAGAACCATGTATTCACGTGTGGCTTACCTGACGCGGCACGCGGGGGCGGGCAAGCCTTAGGCTATTACGCGCGCGTATTTCGGTCGCGATACGGCGCCTCAATCAGTGGCTTGGAACACATCGCACCCTTGAAAACTTCTGGCGATTGGGGCCTAATCCTGACTCAGTGGCTTTAATACAATCTAATAAATAGAAAACAAAAATTTTATGGAAAATGATCACTTCGCGAAAAGGAATGATGAAGCTGATAGAAAATACACCTGCTCCCCGACATGCCGCGGATCACATGTTTCCCGCGCCGTCGTCAATGTGTCAAAAAATTTGTCGCATCCAAGGTTTGCGTCTCTACTACTCAAAATCCCCGGATGTGAGGGGAGACTGCGTAAAAATCGTTCGATCCCAATCGATGTCGTCAGAAAACGAAAAGGCTACGCTATCCTCAGCGTCATAAATGAGTCCTGTCCATCAGCATTATTAAAAAATCTTCTACCTATACTTTCCCATTGAGCCCGAAATATTCCCTACCCGATCTCTACCCTAAAATGCGCAGTGGCTACTAACGACTAACCAATGTCAGAAAAATATTCATCCCACTCCACAATCTGATCATATTATATACACTGCCGCCCATCAGTTTTCACATCCAGCGCCATGAATGAACATGACCAGTTAGAATGTGGTCCTGTTACTCTGCATTACCATACATGAATTCAGAAAGTTTGCCGCTCCGCTTTTTTTACAATCTTCCCTTTGTTTGTCTAACATGCTGGAATGTTCAGGGTTCCTCTTACAATTAGAAGTCTTCTAAACCGGATGCATCTATGATGCTTGAAAGAGTTCAAGATGGTGCGAGAGCGTTAGCGTGTTACCTTAATTTTGCTCACCCTGTCTCACAGAATAACAAGGTGATTTGTGCGATCTCTCATTGTCACGTACGTGGACATTCTCTTGCACGCTTTATGTTTGAATTCCTTCACTCCTTCGCCGTTGTGCCCACTGTTTCCATACTTTTGAACTCCACATCCCACGAAAGTAGCAGAAATGTTGTTCAGGTCGTGTTCGATTGGAACGATTTTGCGGGCGGGCTTACGACGATTCTCCAGATATTTGTATTTGTATTTGTATTTGTTTGGTACACAGGGATGCCTGTGTGTGAAACAACAAAAAAAGAAACAAACAAAACACATCTATAGCATAGAACAACATTCAGACAAATATGAAGAGCAGTAATTTTGGCACAGAGGTAAAAGAAAAACAAGAAACAAGGAGCTATGTGTATAGTGATAAACGTCCAATAAACTGCTTCTGTATTGCTACGCGGGTAACTCACACTTTTTATTCAAATCGACCTTGATACAATGAATTAAGCGAGAATAAAATGCGAATGAACTACAACAATCAAAAAAGCAAGGAAATTCCAAAAAAATGTGAAATTGCGCTGGGATCAAATCTTTGCACCAACCTTGGACTTCTTTGCACCGATCCTCACTTGAGTTGCACAGCGGAAAGCAGAAAGGACCCAGCCTTGCGGCTTGCCCTCTTTTATATCCTCATTTATCATGCCTACGGATCTAAAGCTCTGTGAGCCTGTAGCGTTCTATTTCTTGCTCTTGCCGAATGACCGTGTCAAGCGAGTCCATCAGTAATTTTAGATTCCAGCTCTCTTCTGACGGTAATGTCACCTTTCTTTCAAATACTCGTCGCTGGATATATTTTCTGAACTTCGCTAGATTCTTTTATAGCAACCATGGGTTTTGTGAGGGAGCAAACTTTATCAGAGCTTGCTCTGTCATCTTTAGATCTTATTTTCGTGCAGGTCTATATCTGCAGTTTTTTCATGCAAGCTAGTGATGATTGGAGAAGCGTTCCCGTATTTTTCTTGCAAGTGTTTCAATACCAACTGGTATTTGGATGAGGTCACTTGAAAACGCTTCGGCTGTTTTCTCTTGCCTCTCCCTTCAATGTGCTTTCAAAGGTAGCTGAACTTCTGCAAATTTGAGAGAGGGAGCGAGTGCACGTGGCGTAAATATTTCCCAGAATTTATACCGTTGCCGGCATTAGCATTAAAGCGTCTGGATGAGAAGTTCTAGGGAGGCCTTACTCGGGGCTGTTGGAAGTCTCTTGAGATCCGCTGCGTAGGTATCGGTGAAATTCATTTCCAGCTTATTTCTCTCATTTGTGGTTGGCAGGTAACCTGGCTTTTGCACCTCAAATTGAGCCGAAAGGGATTCCGACTCCGACAAAACCGTGTTAACTTTTTTATGTGTTCCGAAGCGCACCCTTCTTCCTCACTTCCAAGTGGTATTTCCAAACTGTCAACAATTTCGGCGAACGCGAGAGTAGCCTTCTCAAAGAAGCTTGCAGCAGTCGGGATTACTTGCCGGCGCATTCATTTCCATTGATTTAAGTTTCGTCATGTCAGTTTTGGCACTCCTGGGGAAGACCAATTCTTTTGCTAGTCAGCGATTATTTTTTCACTGGAGCGTCGGCTAATGCATATAAACTGCCGGGGTCTAGCGTTAGCCCTTCGCGGCCGCTTTCGAAGACTATCGCCATTTTCCCTTAGCGTAAATAGACGAGAGGGAATTTTCACCCAAATCATCTCAGTTCTCTCCACTTATGTATGACAGCTAAAGCGTTAGCATGCCAATGCACATTTTGAATGCTAATCTCCGTTCTCCTTGGAAGTGGCACCACTTGTTGATAATGTCTCTTCGTCGTGGAAGTATCCTCACTTTCATTCACTTCCTCGAGAATCCCTTTCCGAATTTGCTCTTTGAAGACGTCATCGTATTGCTGAAGAATGTTCTCTTGTTCCTTCTTGGTCTTTCTGCAGTATACATGTGAGCCTTCTCTACGCCAGAGCTCTGTTGTCTGGCAGGTCGTCGTGCACCTCCTTGAATGGAATCTTCACATAATACCCATCAAGTCTTCGCTCGATTGAGTTGTTGAAGTCCTCGAGCACTTGCGCATTCACTCGTGCCTTTTCTTGCCTTCTCCAGGGCCGGTGTAGTCTGGGCCAACGTCGTTTATTTGGAGGTTCCAATGTTGTTCCCATTGGTCATTTTTATCCTCCAGTTGCAGCATATTAACCACTGTTGGCGTTGGCGATGTTGTGCCTTCGGAAGTTTTCCTCCCCGAGACGGAATAGCCGAATTTTGTTGGTATGAGTGTCAATCCTGATGGCAGGTTGAAGTGGGATGCCTCAAAGTTTATGAAATCCCATAGTTGGTCGCATCCTACGAGGATTTTTGGTTTCACTGCATGACCAGTCACCAGGAAGATCTGTTCGCGTATCGTCTTCATAGGTGATTCAGACACCGCTAGAATTGTTGGGCTTGGTCCCAAATTACTTTCTTGTACGGCCGTGGTCCTTGCTGCAGCAAAGTTTTGCACGATCTTTTTATTTTCTCACCCTTTTTCGTGTCCGCATTCCCTCACGGAGTTGTATTGTTCAATGTGTTGCGCCTTTGAGAAACACGTTGAAGAGTGGTGTTTCCTACCACAGTAGTGACACCCTTTAGATTTACAATCTGCAAAGGTGTGGCTTTTGGAACCACATCCAAGACATCGATGCGTCGTTTTGAGGAAATCGATTCTCTCATTGGGATGTTTCAGTTTCGTGCACGATGTCGACCAGTGATCTTTCGATTCGCAGTAGAAACAAAAGGGCGTCCGCTTCATGTCTTGCGTGACGCCTGGTTTCTGTTTCGCTTCGGCTTTGTGCTCGGTCTTTGCCGGCACGTAGCGTTCTATTTCTTGCTCTTGCCGAATGACCGTGTCAAGCGAGTCCATCAGTAATTTTAGATTCCAGCTCTCTTCTGACGGTAATGTCACCTTTCTTTCAAGTACTCGTCGCTGGATATCTTTTCTGAACTTTGCTAGAATCTTTGATAGCAACCATGGGCTGTCGAGGTTCTCTCCTTTGCTTTCCAGCTGTTTCGTGAGGGAACAAATTTTATCGAAAAGCTTGCTCTGATCTTTTAGATCCTATGCTTCGTGCAGTCCATATCTGCAGTTTTTCATGCAAGCTAGTGATGATTGGAGAAGCGTTCCCGTATTTTTCTTGCAAGTGTTTCAATACCAACTGGTATTTGGATGAGGTCACTTGAAAACGCTCGGCTGTTTCTCTTGCCTCTCCCTTCAATGCTTTCAAAAGGTAGTTGAACTTCTGCAAATTTGAGAGAGGGAGCGAGTGCACTGTGGCGTAAATATTTCCCAGAATTTATCCCGTTGCCGGCTATTGCCATTAAACTCTGGGATTGGGAGCTTAGGGAGTCCTACTCGGGCTGTTGAAGTCTCTTGAGACCGTGCAGAGGTATCGTGAAATTCACTTTCCCCTGCATTTTCTCTCATTTTGGTGGCGGTAACCTGCTTTTGCACCTCAAATTGAGCCAAAAGGGATTCCGACTCCGAAAAAACCGTGTTAACTTTTTCTATGTGTTCCGAAGCGCACCCTTCTTCCTCACTTCCAAGTGGTATTTCCAAACTGTCAACAATTTCGGCGAACGCGAGAGTAGCCTTTTCAAGGGACGCTTGCAGCGCTCGAACATGTACTTGCGCCGCATTCATTTCATTGATTAACTTCGTCATGTCAGTTGCTCCTGGGAAGACCACTTCTTCTGCTAGTCGCGAATATTTTTTCACGAGGTCGGCTAGTGCATTAAACTGCCGCGTTACTAGCCCTTTGCGCGCTTTCAAGGATGTCGCCATTTCCCTACGTAAACAGACCGAAAGGGGAACTATTCACCCCAAAGACCTCCTCAGTTCTCTCTACTTAGTAATGAAGCTGAAGCGTTAGCATGCACTGCAACATTTTTGAATGCTAACCTCCGTTCCTTCCTTAGAATGCACCACTTGTGTTAGTGATCAACGTCCAATAAACTGCTTCTGTATTGCCACCCGGGTAACTCACACTTTTTATCCAAATCGACCTTGATACAATGAATTAAGCGAGAATAAAATGCGAATGAACTACAACAATCGGAAAAGCAAGAAATTCCAGAAAAAATGGGAAATTGCACTGGGATCAAATCTTTGCACCAACCTGGACTTCTTTGCACCGATCCTCACTTGCTTGCACAGAGGAAAGCAAAAGGGACTCAGCCTTGCGGCTTGCCCTCTTTTATATCCTCATTTATCATGCCTACGGATCTAAAGCTCTGCGAGCCTAAAAGAATGCAAACATTTGATCCTCATATCGTGTTCCTACGGATCTAGGAATGCTCTTAGCTAAATGGAATGGCACTGTTACAGTAAAGCTTTCATATCTTGTTCTACGATCTTGAAAAATATGGAATCGAAACGCACATTACATTTACAGTAATCCAACATGAGATGGTGAAATCGAGTAATGTTATCAAATGAAATCGAGTACTGTTATCACGTTCGTGGTAAGCTACGATGTAAGATGCATGTCCAAAGCGGTTTTAAATGAGATAAATTTGCTGGTGGATGCTCCCAGTCTGACAAATCTTTATATCCTAATTGCAGTTTATAACACATTGACGACGCATTTTTGAACAGAAATGTCTCGGAATAAGTGCACTCAGAGGCAGGGTAAATATTGGTCGGGGAATGATCAACGGCTTCTCGATGATTTTCGCCTGATCAGTTACGCTCTCCCGCGCCGACAAAGGAAGTAATCGTCATCGTCCGTTATGGGTTACTATTAGCCCTCCTGTTCCATGTTGTCTTATTCATTTTACGACAAAAATATTGTTCTAGCTGAACTGTTCTTAGGTGAGTGACAAACTATGGACAATTTCATGAAGAAATACGTCAAATATGTTTTCTTTGTGAAATATGTGAATTTCTACCTTGAAAAAAAAAAAAACTTATCAAATCAAGATATTTCTGTATTTCAAGGCGTTGAAATAACACGACCACTGCGAAATCTCGTTGCCGAAGTCGAACTACGCATTGGAGGAACTCCAAACCCTGCCAATCCGACGCTACCCTGCTCGAGAAACATTGATGAAAAGATCAACCAGTGCTTTTGCTCCAAAGTTGAGGGAACGTGGTTCGTTTAACCTGTTCATGTTTTTTTTTTTTGATTTATGCTTTAGTCAGCCGTTAGAATCTGGGAACGGTGGATCAGTATTGACACACGTAACAATTATTTCAGCTAATGAAACATTAATGTTCACTAAAGTTCTGAGAAAATCGAGATCTTCCCACAAATGTTACAAATGTACTGCATCGTAGAGACACGCTTAGCAATGTGTATAACAGTGGATACGAGCACTATTCCATGTATTTGCTTGGAAAAGAAACATGGCACAAATAGATGACGGTGAACACAGATTTCAGCGACGTTTTTCCTCCCAGAAGAGCATACTTATTTTCTGTGTAGATATGCAGTATAATAGTTCTTTTTTTTTCGTGGACAGCACGTCACTACGGTTCGAGGACTCTAGATGCCCAGCTTCACACGTACAGCGACCGCAGCATAGGCGAGTTCCGTCATTCGAGCCGAACTCATGCTCATAAAAAACCTGAGCCCTTGTTTCACTATCACTGGTTGTCCTGAAATGGGAATGCCTGAGAGTGGCGCCGCCTATGTCCTCGCGCATCGTCAACCACGATCGCCTATTCTCCACTCGATTGTTCGAACCGCTACATCCTTCTCACTCTTCTTAGCTTATCAGGTACGGAGCTAAATCAGATCTGTTAGTGTCTATCGACCATCTAGGACACGTCCGTTGAATGTTCATGTATGGCAGTTAATCGTTACATCAGTCAGACCTCTATCTCAAAATAAGTTCAATCTTCATTATTTGCTTTCCCGCACTGGACCAGCCGACATTTGCTGTGCATATAAATCCTCGTTGATCTATATCTCTATCCCGGTTTTCAGGCCGTTGGTAGAAGCTTCAGAGTTATATATAAGCATAGCCCATTTACACCTAACTTTGATTTTTACGCTCTTATAAAAGCAGCGTCTAGGCGCATCACTCGTAATAACATGCAAAAATATACACACGCACAGTCGCATGCACAGTTGAAAAAGCGTAACTTGGTCATAAATAGCGTCATTCGGCTTCTCAATAGAGCTCAGATTATGCCGTTGATACTACTCGCAGCGCTGAACTTTCGATTAGTGTATTGCCCACGACCTGGGGTAAACACAGGAGTCGGCCCAAATACACACAAGGTGATACCAGCTCAATTTCTTTTCAATTAGCAGCTGATGAACATAGAAAGAGTTCGTTGGCGTGGGCGAGATAGTTCAGACGATACTGTTCAGTAACCCCTCTGGATGTCACCAAGACACGATTTGAGCGTCAGAATGAACAACAGTGGAGATAAACGAATTACATTGAATCAAAAAATCCTCGCGCTAAATGTCGAATCCTCATCGAGCCAGCAGCCAAAAATGCATCTGATCAACAGCATGTAGCTGTTTTATCACTTGGGCATATATACATATTATGTATTGTCATATTATCAGAATTACATGTGCTATAAGAAAATTTCAACGACGACTGAGCGCCAGATGCAAGGTCTTCGACTTTGCGACAGAGGTATCGAAGGCAACATTACGAGCAAGGACTGAACTAAAAGACGCTATCATCAAAGCCAGAAAGCGCAATTGTTTCCACGCAAACAAGTGAATGACAAAAAACTGGACAAGGAGAGAAGCACGGCTTATGAAATGGGAGCCCATATAACCATATTACTCGGACAGCCACGTGGAAGGTTGATTTTAAGGTATCGCCGGCGAGAGGAGTGCGAAGAACACGGCTCGCTATTCTTAATAGTTTCAGAACATGGCCCGTTTATCAACTTTATGTCAGATGAATAACTGAAATGAATGTTAAATGGTAAAATTTCTTCCCCAAGGGTGTGCTAGAAAGAAAAGCGAAGCGTTTTTTTTTTCTATTTTACATTCTTGGTGAAGCTGTTGACATTTGACTTTCGCACTGATTTTGCATGACGTAGGAGTTCTCAGTGCACCACTCCTCTGTATCCCACCAATGATTCCTACATACGTAATCTGCAGCTTGAGCTGATTTATAAATCTGACCCAAGGTGGGGACCGTTCAACACCGTCACCTAATCGCATATTAAGAACATGAACAAACAACAACTAATTCATCCAGATTGCTGTTTAACAAAGGACGAGCACTGACAGCCGTGGGGTGGCATCTCATGAAAAAAAGCCATCCTAATTTACTTTATTAGCGGTGTAGCGGGAACTGATGAAGCGTGCTCTCGCCTATTTTATAGATGAACTATTGCGCATCTGGCATTTGAAAGATTCTATTCTGCGTCCGCTAGGGGAGTGTTCATGAATAGCTTCTCGAAATTTTTTTGAGTTTCAGTCATAGAAGGCAGCGAGCAAGTGAGCTTGCTAACTGCTCGAATTGGTCTATGGGGATGATTCTTCGCGAACCATGTTTCAAAACTTCAATTAAAGATTTTACCAGCAATAACTTTAGTGTGGCCAAGAAATTATGTACCGGCCTAATACACGGGGGGGGGGTCAAAAAATTCACCCTCTGTCCATATTTGAAATGGAATAATCCCACGTTGCTAAACTCTATATTTAATACCACAAACAAACAAGCCAAATATTGAAGAGCACATTCCATGCTATCAGAAAACATAACAGCCTTCTCGAGAACATGGTGCATGGTTCGAACTCAGCGAGGGACCCAACGGATCGTGGGCCATAAAGACGTTATTCGAACGCTGATCAGGAGGGGTCTTACGTAGTCAGCGCTAGTGCTTCTAGAAGCTATTAATCAGTCAACCGACCAAAGTTTATGTAGCAGCTTCAGGCTGGAGCGATTACGGTAGGCCTCCTTGAGCTCGACGGTGATGGCAGATGACGTCATATTCTGGAGACGGTGAGGGCAGTGAAGGAGGGCCTGCTTCTGCTTATGGGGGGACATCTAAGGAATATTTGCCGTAAAACTTCCATCAACAGCGGCACCCTGTGCGACGAAAAGTTTGGTGATGTGCGCCATGGGCAATTTTTTGACCCTTCCTGTATACAACACATCCATAGCATTCTTGTCCGTGACAGGCAGGAATAGCAGCCAAAGAAACGATCTCAGCGGTTTGTAGCTGTTCCAATGTAATCCCCTAAATTTCATCGTCACACTGCCTACCTCTCGAAGAAGCGTCGACAATAGTAAGCAATAGACATTGTGATAAATGTTTGTATTGTATGCAATGTAACCATTTTTTTATCAATGTCGCGAATTTTGTGCATATTCTGAGTGGTGCATTTTCAGCGTCTTCTGTGATTTTTGTAAGCAGCTGAAGGCACAGTCGGCGAACATTTCCGCGACGAAGCAGTTTTCTGCACATAAAAGC